ATCTGAAGAAGGGTTCAGAAATTACTGGAATTATCCTAATTGTTGTGGTGCATTGGACGGCAAAGATGTGAATATCACTTGCCCAATTAATGGTGGTTCAGATTTTTGGAATTATAAAGGAGAAAATTCAATAGTACTCCTGGCATTAGTGGATCCTAAATACAAGTTCTTAGTTGTAGATGTAGGCTCATATGGAAAAAACAGTGACGGTAGTATATTCAATAAATCTGCACTTGGAGAGTCTTTAGAACAAGGCAAATTAAGAATGCCTGCTGATAAATCTTTATCTCCCGATTTGGAACCATTAACATACGTAATAGTGGCAGATGAAGCTTTTCCCTTCAAGTCGTATTTAATGCGGCCGTATAGTAAGAATGATGTTCGCAATAATGAACCCAATAAAATATACAACTACCGGCTAAGCCGTGCTAGACGTATCGTTGAAAATTCTTTCGCCATTTTAAGAGCAAGATGGCGCGTTTTCGCCAAACCTATGGAAGTACAACCTGATATGGTGGACAAAATTATTTTAGCAACATGTTGCTTACACAATTATTAAGGTATTGATACTTTGCCATCTGACTGTCAAACCCAAGATGATAATGAGACGCCATTGGGACCTACAGCTTTGGAGGACTTGGACACCTTACGCAGAAATTCTACACAACATGCTTTTTCTGTCTGAAATAAATTTAAGGAATATTTTAATTCTAACGAAGGTGCAGTTCCGTGGCAAGTAGATATTGTAAGGAGAGGAAGACAAAATACTCTGTAAATCTGTGTTAAAGTGTATTTTATAATAAATTGAATTGAATAGCAGCTTTGTATTAATTTCAACTCCTCGACGCATTGCTGAGAAAAAGGGTCTTGAAAGACAGACGGACGGACAAACAAAGTGACCTTATAAGGGTTCCTGTTTTCCTTTAGAGGTACGGAACCCTAAATACAAGCAGGTACTTACTAATAAATGTATTAATGAGGTACCTATTTTTATGATAAATAGAAACTGTATAGGTACTGATAGAAAGTAGCTAAGTAAATAGGACAAATTACATTTTATTGAAAACTTACCTGTAGTATGCAATTGTTCTGCAATTTCTTCCCAAGCATTATTTCGAATACTATGATCACGATAATGAACTGAACTCATATCATATAAAACTCAGTATCGTTTCACTAATTCTATTAATTCTTCATCCGACGTTTTAAACCAATTTTTAAACAAAAACTGACAAAAAATTTCTTTTCTTTTATCATAACTTTAAAAATGTTCTCGAAAGAATGACGCGTGGCGTCGGGTGTTAACTAGAAACACACTGCGCTGATTCGTCAGGTGGCGTGTCCCCCCCCCCTCTCCCAGCAACACGCTGATCCAAATCGATTGGATGTTGCGGCGTGTGGTCACATAGCGTGTTGTCTATGCGCTTCTGACTATATTAAATATATGGAATTGATAAGTACTGACATGCGTTGGGTGGCGTGGCGTAGCGTCACGTTTCGGTAGTACGTTTGTACGTTTGGTAGTTCCGCCCTTATAAACGTACGCACAATGCACAATGATATCTAATGTTTCACATTACATTGCTTGGCGAATTTGTCAACATAGAACAAAAGCAGCAATAGTAATTGTACAATCGAAAATTAATAAATGAAAGTTTAAAAAGGTTTGTGTATTATCTGGATGTAAATTAGTTAAAACAATGATAATAGTAAATAATCAACTTACCGATAAAATTTTATGCCTTTATTACTTGAATTACACACGTCGTTGATGAGTTTTTACAACTGATTATGCTGCAGTTCACCATTATAAATTTATAATAACATAAACTCACGTACGACGTTTCCCGCGCAACTAATTCACAAAATGGTAAATCATGTTCGTCAACACATGATAGCGGCGACAAGATAACGCGTCTATGCGACTTCTATTGTCTTATTATTACGATTTCTGTGGTTTTATACTATTGCTAAAAATGTATATTTTTTTCAAATTATCGAAAAATTGACACTTCAGGAACACGTTTCTTAGTATCGTTTAAAATTAAATTTAATGCGTGTGGCGTATAATAAACATAATCGACATTTGGGGCACGCTCTTTTAAGGTCTATGTAAAATTTCTCGGTTGGTTCTAAAAGATAAGCCAATATAGTTACAGGCTGTGAGTTATTCCATTGTAGCACTTAGGGATGACAACGCATCTGTAGAAAACTTTGTATAAAGTTGGCTGCAAGTGTCCATTGACTGCATGAGCCACTTACCATTAGGTGGACAGTAGGCCTATACAATATTTCGATTCCATATTTCCGCTGTACAATTTTAACATATTTTTTTTATAAACTGAAGTGACAAACGAACCTACAGAAATATTGTATAAGTGTATATACATATATTACAGAGACAAAACTTATCGATTATTACTAAATACCGTCAATTACTAATGGGAGAAACTATTACCACATCGCTTCCTTTTACAACTCTATGAAGACTCGTAACATTACGACACGTATCGGACGACTTAGAAAAAGGCATAATCATCTCATATTTATATCGAATACGAAACTCCCAGACCGGCGACTGGAAGCTGGACAAATGTGCCGAACGAAACTGCACCTCGAAAAAAATGTTCTCCATTGCAACTTCTGCTTTCTGATCCGTTAAGCTATTCTAGATTCTATTACGTACAAAAACTCTGAGTATAGCGTATCAACGAGCAATGGTGAGGCATTGCTCGTTGATACGCTTTGGATCTCTTCATACAGCCAGTAGTAAAAGACCGCGACTAACTATAAAAAGAGATAATATATACACCCGACACAACATTTGCTCCATGTTTTTTTTTTGTAGAAGAAGGGTGACAAACGAGCACACAGTCCACCTGATGGTAAATCGATGGTGTGGCCCATAGACATCTACGTTTATCCTCGATTAAGAATCAAAATGCGTATGCGTTGTCATCCCTGAAGACTGAGATGTAATGCCTCGTTTCCAGTAAAAAAGGGTCTCCAGATCTCTACACTCAGCATACGAAACACAGCGGTATTAAGTTGTTATTTTACGCTGGTATTCTGTGAGAGCGTGGTCCTTCCCCGTTCGAGCTGACCCATTCGTGCTACAACCATAATATAGCTGTAGCGTGGCTCTACCACGTCAAACCCTGTAAACCTGCACTCTACATTTGGGCAAATCAACTCCACATTCTTTTATGTTATTTAAAATTACAGTTTTTCAGTCATTCTGCACTACAATCAGAAATTTATATAAACCCCAAAAAGAAGTCGCAAGTTTTTATTTCTTTAGGTACATTATTACCATCTTCGGATATCGAGATGTATCGAAAACTACAGAATATTGATAAATTTTTGACAGGTCTTTAGGCACGTTGATCACTTTTTTATGATATGATTTTTTTTCGGAAAGTTCGGCCAAAGAGTTTATGTAAGATTGTGGATAACATTACGAATTTTTGCCAAGACACTTTCGGGACCCCTGTCGCCCGGGGGCTACGTATCATTGATACGGCTGTTACGGCGGTAGCTACGCCCCTGTGTTGTATTCTGATGCCATTAGAAGTATCCTCTTCTTCTCGTAAACATTACACACTGCGACATTTGACGTTTTCTCCTCTTAACTAGAACTTTCAATAGTGTTGGTTTTGAAAGCGCGTACAGGGACATCCAAGTCACTTCAAGGGTCAAAGTATTTTTGAGCTTGTTATGTTCCACTAAGTTGATATCACTAAGATGTTCTTTTTGATTTTCAGCTAGTTTGTGATATTCACTATACAACCCTTTTAGCCAAGCAAAGAATCTCTGACTCATTACAATTCAATCTAAACTAATTAGTAAAGTTGACGTAAACATAACGTCAACGCTAAAAAATGTGAAGTACAGAATTAATTTATATTTTCTATTAGCAGTTTTACATCTACAAGTATGTAGTCTCCTTTTAATGCGACGGCTTTCTGAAACCTTATTCCATCTACAATGGCAAAGTGATTCTTCCTGTAATGTCATCTACTATTTTATCAATAGTTGCACGCAATGCAAGACTCTTGATTAAACCTCTCTGATAGTAGTGATAGATTTTTTAATTTGTTTTGTTATCCAGTGAAAAAAGATAACTTTGTTGTTCGCTTTACTTTACTAAAGTCTACTGTCACTTTAAGTTTAGTCCCTAAAAATTTCGATAAAATATTTCACTTTTATTGACAGTAGCTTAATCGTTAAGGCTGTATGAACTTACATTTTCTTCATCAATCATCATCATTACAGCCTATCGGATTTCCAAACCATTACGCCACCAGGCAGGCGAGTTAGCAAATGCAGTTTTTATTATTATTTTCAGCATAAGAAATATGCAGCTCATTTCTTGTTTCGATTTTCCTCTGTCGTCTCTAACGACATCCATGAGATGACATAAGATAGTGGATATTCTTACGCCTCCACTACACATCAAGCAAGTCAGCATGGCTGATATATGGGAGATTTTTTTTAACAATGCCAAGTTAAGTTTGTCCTTCAACTCGACCAACTTTTTCGTAAGAGCAATGTTCGGCAGGAGTTTGTTTTCATTACGTATATTTCCCGAGATAATAATAATAATAATACTCTTTATTAAAAACTTACAAAAGTTACAAAACAAATGTTGCACTGATTCCTAAATTAGGATAAATCCTGTATCTTAGTACTGATAGTACCTTCCCATACAATTGAGATGAGTGAACTATCCACATATTAAGTAAATATATCACTTGTTCGATTTTTTTTTACATCCGAGGTAAAATAATGAAGTCGTTTGGATATAATTTAGTTATATCTATTTACCGAAAGGTCAGTAGCTACATAATCATCTTTAAACTGAGAGTTAAAGATATTATTTACAATAACTCTAAAATACAACATAATATGATTGTAAATGAAATTTTTTACTCATTTCATTTATCACTTATTTGTTTACATTATTATATGCAAGCATTTATTACTTACCTTTTTTCCAGAATTTTTTACGACCGTTTCGAGAGCATCACATCGATCCTACGTCAATTACACGTCATGACTTTGTCGAAACAAATGGAGACAATTTTGCTATTACAATTCCTGTACTGGCGAGAATTGTTTGGCAGCTACTAACATACGATACCGACGTTATTGAAAAGCAATTTCATTGGATTGCGTATTGGTATCTATGCTGCATATTTGTGGCAATGACTAATCAGGTAAATTGTGTAAATTTAACAAATTCAAATAATATTCGTAGATACTGTAACAGCTGTAACTCATTAATAAATATTCGGTTCAAGGACTTTTTGGTGCGGTGGTTGATAGAGTATCGATCGTACCAACACTACACGTGGCTTAAATTCAATTTATGGCTTTAATCATTACGAGCATATGTTATGAGCTTTTATTCAAACTACAACTAGTGGCGTAGCAGAGCTCACCCGCTAAACTTGTGAGGGCTCACAAGTTTAGTGGGTCCTGCGAGTCCTGCATGGTAAAAATATTAAAAAATGTGAATTTGAGATATCACTAAATGTTATTGGAATATGACGAGCACTAGCTTTAAAAGTTCTGAAATTATATAATAATTCTTTAGTTTGCTGGTACCAAAGATTTGATTTGAAACCTGGTGTGGTTTGATCAAAGTAGAAGTATGCAATAAGTGCTATAAAATTAAAGCTCATATTCGCTGACACTACACTGATCAATACATAAACGAGAGAATAGTGATAAATAGAATTTTAATTTATAAAGTCGAAAATAATATACATTTCTTTTTATTTCACAATATTTTCCTTTCATATCATTTCATAATTTTAGACAGTTAAAACTGACTTTTAATCAAACGGATGTCTTCGTGTTGTCGTCTGCAAGGGACTACTATTATTTATCCCTGCAGGTTTCGGGCCTCGGGGTATTCCCCATTACCCGGGCAATCATCACAGTCCATTTCTATGGGCCGGTCCTGGGAGCCGTTCAAGTACGGCATTGTAGGTTATCTTCTTTGGCGTATTGCGCGCCACTAGGTAGGTGCTTCCGAAGGGTCAGGAGTCTCAAAGCCCCGCGGAGTCCTGCGGACGACGGGAGTCAACGCTGGGCCTATCCTGCCGACAGGTGTGCGCTCCTTAGGTCTAGGTTATGGCCTGGCTGTTTCCTAGGCATAGTTGGCGTATCTCGCGCCTCCGGGAAGGGATCTGCCGAAGGGTCAGTGACTTCCAGCTCCCGCGGAGACGGGTCTCGACGCGGAGCCGATGCCACCAACAGGCGCGCGCTCTTCTAGCGGCACTCCGCCGGGCCGCTAGAGGCCCGCCTCCGGAGTTCGCTTCCCAGCGTAGTAGATGACATGCAGTGTAGGGTATGTGTCGTCCCGGGAGGGGTCAGGGGCGTCCTCGAGGCTCGACGCAAGCCGAGTTGGCCCCACAGCACGTTGGGTGTACGTACAACAACTAATTGGTATAGTGGTCTGTACTTGTACTTGGGCAATATCTCGTAAACTGATTACGATATGGGAAAATGTTAGTAATAACAATTGAATACTTATCAACTAATTTTATAAAAGGGCTCATCATTTTATCGTTTATCATTCGTAATTTAGATATTATTTTTTTTTTTTTTTTTATTTTTATCTTTATAATTTTTTTTTTTTTTTTTTTTTTTTTTTCTTTTCTTAAATTTTTTTTTTCCCTTTTTTGGACCGGGAAATTCGAAAGTTGTTAAGCTGTTATGATTTTTATAAACCGCAACTCTGTGAATTGTAAAAGTGTGATACATGGTACCTCATATGTAGGTAGTCATTCTTTTGTATATTTTATTTTACTTACTGGCCACCCGGTTTTATTTTAACAGATGTGTTTAAAATTTCGAGATAACGCAAGGAGCCGGCGCACAAACGTTAAAGTTACTGAGTTAACGCAAAGAATTTTGCTGAGTTACCCATGTCTACTATGAACTTAAACTTGCCAGTTGTAAATATTCAGAGTTATCGAGAGGTACCCATACCTCCTGAATGCCCACTGTTCCATACTACCTTACTACCTAAATTTTATCTTCATAAATAATTAAAAACATTATTTATCAACATTTTTAAATACATACAATATTCCAGATTCATAAATGGTCGCATACATATTTTGGATTACCAATATGGGTAATTTGGTTGCAAGAATGGCACGTTGTGTTACCACGTCGTCACCATCGTATACACCACGTAGCGCCGCACGAGACTTACTTTTGTATTACCACAGGCTGGTTAAACTGGCCTTTGGAAAAGTTGCACTTTTGGTCTACGCTCGAGGTTGTTATTGAAGCTTTAACTGGTTGTAAGCCTCGAGCCGACGACATGAAATGGGCCCAAAAGCATTCCTAAAACACGTTTTTTCTCACGTTGTATTTTATACCGCCACAGTTTATTCTTAATTACATAAACTACTCAAAACAAATTAAGGGTTATTCGAATTTTGTGAATTATTCATTAATCTAAACATGGTACATATTAGTAATAATATGTACCATGAAAGAAAAAGGAAAATGGACGTTTTCTTTTAAACGGTTTTCTTTTATTTTGAATCATATCGCATAAAATAAGTCACACATGTTTTGTTTATGGTCGCGTTCGCATTCATAGAAACTGTGTAAAATTTTCAACAAATATTAAGATTTGTTGTTATCTGTGTTCGCATTAAGTACAACATAGATATTGTATTTTATTTATCTATAGATCTGTCAACGTTAGCGTTCGCACTTTTGTTTTTATGTGACTCAATTTGTTTTAATAAAACGTGTTTCTTTTGTTGTCCACAAACTTGTTGCCAAACATCACAAAACACTATTACTCTTAGTGAAGAACGGTAACTCCATATAAAATAAAATAAGTGTATGTTCATATATTTTGTCATACGCGGAGTAATGCAAGTTAAGGGCGTAATATAGTATTTGCACTGTTAGTTATTGAAGAAACGTTGGTTAAGAAGTTTGTTATTATATACGTTACAAGTATAAATTTCTAGCGCCTTCATATTAATCGATAAAAACAAAATTTAAAAGTAGGTACGCATTTGATACAATTTAGAAACGTTACTTATACACACTAAACATTTAACACAAGTGATTGTTGTTTATAGTACAACATTACGTGGAGCCCTTCTTTTGTTATGAGTATCTAGTTTACATATTATTGTTGTTGTTTGTATAGAGCCTTTAAATTTTGCTACGAAATATTTTTCACAATACAGTGAAACCTTGATATAACAAATCTGAAGGAGATTAGAAAATATTCGTTATACGAAGTAATTTGTAACAATGAGGTTTGTTATATAGAGGTTAGGTTGTTCTAAGATTCGTTTTAGCAAGGTAAGCAAACTTTCAAAGAAAAGTAAAACACATTGTAATGAATGCCTTACAACACTAAACATAAATTTATTATGACAGGTTGAATTCCTGGATTGTCTTATGATAAATTGAACGTGTCTGAACTTGTCTGGACACGAATTCCTGTTAGATGGATTGGTAGAATACTTTATGCAGAGGTTAATTGTTATACGTTTTATTTATGTTTTGCAATGATTTAAAAAAGTTATAGACGTTTTTACAAAAGTAATTCGTAATGTAAAGGTATATTTTGCATTAACTCTTACGGCCAGTTTTAGGGGATTTCTAAGAATTTGTGAAATCGAGGAAATCGTTATTTTGGGGTTCGTTATACTAAGGTTGTACTGTACATGCTTTAATATGATTATGATAAAGCTAAGTTATTTATTTAATTAATTTTTTGTAAGCTTGCCAACTGTCCCGAATTTCCGGGACATACCGCATCTGGACAATAATTTAAGCCGTCCCGATAAAATGCCCTTGCTAGACGCTTAATGTCCCGGAAATCATTAAACAATTAATCATTTTATGATAATTATAAAAATGTTTTATATAGTAAAGATACCACATATATGCAATAAATGAAACCACAAGTAATACTTGCAATAAAAACTTACTCCACTCTTCCAAGGGGTCAAGGTACGTTGTCTAAACAGTGTTTACTTTTACTGAATTTATTTTGACATTTATTTTGTTTGAAAATTTCACCTTTTTTAACTTAAAGTTTTTAATTTAATATTTAATTTTACTACACATCTATGGGCGGGTCGATTTCACAAGTCGAATTAATTTGATACTTTTTTTTCGCTTTGTGCAAATACCCGTTTTATTGTTATCTGACGGTCCATAAAGTATACTTTTATGAAGTTACAAAAGTGACAAAAAATCAAGATCAAGGTAACACGAATGAGTCACCTGGGAACACGAATGAAATTCTCATAACACGAATGAAGTCTGCAGGACACTAATGATATTGGCTAACTAAATCGCATACTTTACGATTATAATATTGGGTACGTAGTACTATTATGTATTCTGTGATATTAGTCTTTTTTAATAATGCACAAGAAAATATGTATGTTACCATTTTTAGGTTAGGTTAGGTTTAGGAACAAAAGAACTTTTATTAATCTTTTAATCAAAAGACTTTTAAAAACAATACAAAACAAATATTAAGAATACACGATTATGTAACATAATTATTTCTGCATCAGTCACAAATGGCCTCAAGATTTAGATTTAAAATTTCGATCGCGGAGTTAACTTCTGCTGGATCAATCCAAGCGTACAGCTGTAAATCGTCAGCATACATAAATGGTAGGAGCATTTGAAATTCACAGTTATGAGATTTATAAAAATAAAAAATAATAAAGGAGAAAAAATTCCGCGTTGTGGAACGTCAGTAGTAAGATTAGACCAATCAGAGAAAGACTGTTGGTTGACTTTAACTCTTTGCTGGCGACCACGAAGATAAGTTGATAACCAATCCAAAACTGACGAAGAGAAACCCATGTATGTACAGATAGCAAGAAAAATGTCATCATCGACTGTACAGAGAGCATTGGAGAAGTCAATTAATACGAGAACCGTTAATTTTGATTCATCCATACCCTCTCGTACATCATCAAGAACTTTAAGGAGAGCAGTGGTTGTACTATGTCCAGGACGAAAACCTGATTGATTGTAAGGGACTAAGAAGATTATTTTTATAAATGTAGCTGGATAGCTCTTTGTATGCAGCTGATTCTAAAATTTGAAAGAAAGGGAAGTATAGAAATTGGTTGAAAATGGTTAACAGAACTGGGATTATTTAACTTGGGAAGTGGAAGGATAAATTCTTTACGCCAAAAAGATGGAAAAACCCCACTAGAAAAAGAAAAATTGATGATGTGGATAATGATTGGGAGAATGTTTTCAAGTGTGGGGATAATCATATCTACTCACATCATCATAGCCAGCTACTTTAGATTTAACGGAAAAAATAATTTTACGAAGATCTTCATCAGTTATTTGAGAAAAAACAAAGCAATTTGCGTCGATTTTGGGAAGTGATGAGATAAGAGAAATAGTTCTATGTTTAATGGAATAATCAACTTTAGTTACCAAGGAGAAGTGCTAATTAAGATCATTGAGAGATATTGAATTTAAAGAATTGCCCTGATATGGGTATATCAGGGCAATTCTTTTGTCTACCTAACCCAAGGGAATTAAGAAACTTCCAAGAGCCGGCTGGCGAAGAGCTTATAATATTCTTATGGATATGTCGACGTTTTGCAGCTCGAACCATCTGATTGCATCTGTTTCTGGTAGTAGTAGTAGCTTTATATACATTCCAGTTGGCATCACAGCGATCGTTTTTAAATCTTACAAAAGCCCGATCACATTTTACCATTGCTTTATGGATGTCACTGTCCATCCACGGTGCTGGCGGGCACTTGCTTTAACATTGCGAGTCGGGCTGCTGCATCGTGTAACTGAAGGATATTATTAGTCAGTGTCTCTACCATATGATTAACATCTGATGTATAAAAAATATCTGACCACATATTCCACATCCAGAGTCGCAAAGCTACGCAGGCGCAGAACAGGTGCGGTAACTTTTGGTGATTTGACTCTATAGATAATTAATAGAAAATCATGGCGCGAGAAACTAGAAGCCGGAACTGCCCATGATTTTACAACATGTTCAGTAGACGAAAAGATTATCAAATCTAGCTATTAATCAGCAGTGTTAATATTAGAATGTGTGGGTCCAAGCGGGAGCATAGAGAAATTTACTGAATTCATGATCATTCGTAGTTCTCGCGATCTAGAAGAGTTCTGCAAAAGGTCAGTACTGAAGTCGCCCATAATTATATGATTTAATTTAATTTCTTTGTTAAAATTCTGCAGCGCTTTTGGTATTTCTTAATTAATAAGGTCATTTCTCTTTTTTCCATCGCATGTTTTAACTGTAAGGCTTTAATTTTACTTTGGAATGTTCTTTTCTTACCTTCTTTATTTATCTCTTTTTTATATTTTCCTCATACATGGGATCGGAGAACTCTTTATCATTTATTTTTGTGTGAGCTTCGAGCACTTGAGAAATGGTTACTTCTTGTATCTTCCGTTCTTGTGCTTCCTTCTCCAGGTATCGCTTCGAATTTTCTCTCCAACGCTTTCTTTGTGCTCTTTGTTCTCTTGGAGACATTTGGTTGATATTTTTTACTTTCTTCTCGCTCTTCCTTTTTAAGTAAGTCTCCTTTTTTAGCCCTTTCAACGGCATATTTTTCGGGATCGCTTTTTATTCGTTTATATTTTTCCCTTCTTGCAATCCTTCTCCTTTCCAACTCATCTTCATTTTTCTTACATTTTTCTTTCACCATTTTAAACCTTAAACAATTTACCATATACTATAAGAAAAAGCCATCTCATAATTTTAACAAATAAATTAATGGTACTTATCATGAAAAACATGAGAGAAACCTCTTAAAGTTTGCAAGTTAAAGTAAGGTTTAAAAGCAAATTTGATGACACATAAGCTAAAAACAAGAAAATAATCATAACGCTTCTTTTCGTAGTCAAGTAATATACCTTTCATTCCTGTAGCATTGCATTTCATTAGTGTTACTCAAAAAAATGACACTAGTGAAGTGACACGAATGAAATTTTCAACAATTATTGATAAATACAATCTAATTTATTGCGTCGTAGAAATATTCTAGACGCCATTAAGAGCCCACAAAATATCCGGGTTATTTGTTGCTAATATACGTGCATGATAAAGAATCCATTGTTCAAATACTTATTATCACACTACTATAAACACGAATGATTCAGTTTTCGTACTAAGCACAGAAATTCAATAAAAAGGCGATTTCTTACCAGAATTAACGATGTGCGCGTCTGCTATCACCGACCGTTCTCGTACGCGCACTAGGGTACTTCTTTACGTGCGTAAAAGTGGGGATAGCAGGAATGCACAGGTGTTCTTATAACGGAACGTTTATTAAGTAGACGCTAATGATTGAAAAAAGTGGTCACAAAATAAAACAGAGAGAAATCGTATTATATTTTGTATTAATTTAAATCTATGAGTGAGATTGAGAGGTTCTATGGGCAGCTGTACACATCATCGTTGGAGCCACACTCAAGTGTGAGTAACGATCCAAGAGCAAGTCTTATCCGACACTATTCCGATGATATCCCGGACGTCAGTCTGAGCGAGATTAGAATGGCTCTCCAACACCTTAAAAACGGCAAGGCCCCGGGCGAGGATGGAATTACAGCGGAGCTTCTGAAAGCGGGTGGAACACCGGTACTTGAAGTCCTTCAGAAGCTCTTCAATTCCGTCCTCCATGGTGGCACTACTCCAGAGGCGTGGAGCAGAAGTGCGGTGGTCTTGTTCTTTAAGAAAGGCGACAACGCTCTCTTGAAGAACTACAGACCGATTTCCCTTCTGAGCCGCGTCTACGTGCTGTTTTCGAGAGTCATTACGAATCGTCTCGCAAGCAGACTCGACGACTTCCAGCCTCCCGAACAAGCCGGTTTCCGAAAAGGCTTCAGTACCATAGACCACATACATACCCTGCGGCAGATTGTACAGAAGACTGAAGAGTACAATTTGCCACTTTGCCTGGCGTATGTGGACTATGAGAAAGCCTTTGATTCCGTCGAAATTTGGGCGGTGCTGCAGTCCCTTCAGCGGTGCCAAGTTGACTGTCGGTATATCGAAGTGCTGAAGTGTTTGTACAGTAGGGCTACGATGGCTATCCGAGTACAGAACCAGAGCTCGAAACCTATCCAACTGCAGAGAGGTGTAAGACAGGGTGACGTTATATCCCCGAAACTCTTCACCGCTGCTTTGGAAGACGTTTTCAAGCTACTGGACTGGAAAGGATACGGTATTAACATCAATGGCGAGTACATCACTCACCTTCGATTTGCCGACGATATAGTCCTTATGGCAGAATCGCTGGAGGACCTTAGCACTATGCTCAATGACCTCAATGGTGTCTCCCAACGGATAGGTCTTAAGATGAACATGGACAAAACAAAGATTATGTTCAATGTCCATGTCACACCTATGCCGGTAGTTGTGGGGAGCACTATGCTCGAAGTTGTTGACGAGTACGTTTACCTGGGACAAATAGTCCGACTAGGTAAGTCCAACTTCGACCGAGAGGTCAATCGACGGATTCAACTCGGCTGGGCAGCGTTCGGGAAATTACGACACATCTTCTCGTCAGGTATACCTCAATCTCTGAAAACTAAAGTGTACAACCAGTGCGTGTTGCCAGTGATGACTTACGGATCAGAGACGTGGTCCTTCACTGCTGGCCGTATGAGGACGCTCAAGGTCGCTCAGCGAGCTATGGAGAGGGCTATGCTCGGAGTTTCTCTGCGTGATAGACTCAGAAATGAGGATATCCGCAGTAGAACCAGAGTGACCGACATAGCCCAACGGATTAGTAAGCTGAAGTGGCAATGGGCCGGCCATATAGCTCGAAGAACCGATAACCGATGGGGAAGAAAGGTTCTCGAGTGGCAGCCTCGTACCGGTAGGCGTAGTGTAGGGCGACCCCCCACTAGATGGAGTGACGACCTGGTAAGATATGCAGGAAGTCGATGGATGCAGGTGGCTCAGGACCGTGCTTTGTGGCATTACTTGGGGGAGGCCTATGTTCAGCAGTGGACTTGTGAAGGGCTGTAATGATGATGATGATGATGAAAACTATTAGCATAACTTGAGTATATTATGGTTATTAATGTGTAACTAGAATAAAAAAAAATATACGTTTTTATAGAGTAGTATTTTTCATAATTAAAGTTTTGTTGAAAAATCGGGGAATAGACCGGTGACACAAATGAAAAAATAGATAGTTTTTTTTAATTATCTCGAATGTTAAACATGTTAGTTTAATATTCCTAACTGTACAATATTAAGATGTTATGTAAGCATCGCATTATAAATAAATTACGTATATTCCAGCAATATTAAAAGAGTTATTTCGTAAACCCCACTTTTTACGGTTTGAAATCGACCCGGGCTAGTATTACTTGTGGTTTAATTTATTGCACATATGTAAAATATACAGTAAGGAGACCTTACTGTATATTTTATTATCTACGTATATTAAAGTTGATGAATTTCGGCGGATAAAACGACAATAAATGACTTGCATTCCACATTTTATCTCAAAATACGAACAAAATCATCCTAAAATAAAATCATTATAAATTTTTGCATCATAAATTACTTAAGTGTCATGTGTCCCGCCGACATAAGCGCAAGTCTCGGATATCTCAGTAGAAAATTCCGCAAATGACCTTTGTAGAGTTGGCAAGCCTATTAATATGTATTAATTAAGATTTCATAAATATTCTATTTGCTTATCTGGAGCGTTCAATAAAGAAGTGAGAATGCAGTAGAAACTCTTTGTTATTTAAAAAGTTTGTACTTACTAGCTGATAAAGCTAGAACATCTGTAAGATATCTATTGACTGTTTTTGTCTGTTTTTAGACTGGGCGCACACATGAAGGTTTCTGTATTAGGAGTTCTGATTTGAAATTCCATTTGTGCGCACACATTTGTTTCCTTCCATTAGGATTTTAGTATTGCTGATATTTTTAGTGACGATATCGCGAACGTGCGTCAAGCCTATGTGCTAAATGCCCTTTTGCTAGCATTTAGTAAGAAGACGAAACGTTGTTATTGGGTGCATTCATTAACAATGCATAGAATAAAAAAGGAGACCATTTTATCTCAAGAGAGCAAAATTACGAGCACGCAAAGATGCGTTCTTTGATTTTTATATGATGTCTGTGAAATCTCACATTCACAATCCGCAACGTATGTAATGATTTTATATTTTTATGAAACACTAAACTTACTAAAAACATAAACTATCTTAATATCAATTGTTTTTATTATATTGTGTAAGTATATATACTTTTCCTTAACAAAAAGCTTTATGTTTTCAATGTTTGCCTTTTTTCCCTGAGTGTAAGATATTCGCTGGATGACGTAACCTTTTTGAGAGGAAACTATTCGTGTGCGGCGGCATACACAAAATATACGTGAAAACAGCATTCCGGTTTTTTTTGGGATGACGTAATTCGGTTTTTTGCTGACTTCAAAAACAGTAAATCAGGTGTAAACATTATTCACACAGTTTAACGCTGTTGTGCTAAATTTAAATTTGGAAGAACACTTGCTACATCTTTAGTAAACCTCACTCAGGACGTCATACGACAGTAGTGACGAAGCTAGTCTAGCTAGTAGTAGATAGAAGCAGTCGAAATAATTATTTTAGCAGGTCATCACGTTACGGTACTTTTGATTACTGAAGAAACAAAGATTTAGATAGGGAAAAGCACGCAGGTGGCTTACGAGTACAGGGTAATATTGTCTGACTAAAAAAGTTAAAGGGTAATGTTAGCTATTGATCTTCGATCAATGACACTATTATTGATCGAAACTATTGATGCAATAAAGTTACGTATAAGATAAACGCTTTACTGTCACAGTGTTTTTGAATACACAGCGATGCGTTTAATAACTATCTGACCAGCTTCATAAGAGATCGTCATCAATGTTATTAAGAGATCAAGTCTAAAATTGATTTTATTGGTCTGTTCTTCATTATTCTGTGCCCACTAGTAACAGACTAATAATACTTTATTTGTAATAATATTTATCGTGTACGAGTACGTGGTTGAGTATACATCACTTTGATAAATTGATAATAATAAAACAGATTGATTCAGTATAAATAATAAAAGTTAGTTATTTGTTAGCGGATGTATGAAAGACATTATAATGGTAAATTTTTTAAAAAGACAGAAAAGCGGTCAAACTAATTGTTTTTTTTTTTTTTTGTATCGCGTGGTTTTGTTTTCTTCGTCGTAGGATTTTAAGTTTTGCCATCTTTGCTATCGTTCATGCTTTGTACTTTTTATGTAAAATAGCAATAGATACTGGATTTAATGAATAGGTAACGGTTTTAATGAAAGAAGGAAGATGCTTATTTTCGAAGTACCTAGCTAAAGAATTTGTGGCTATAATCGACAATAGTACTTTTTTCAGTATATATTTTATTCATAAATTATAATAAAGATTTCTGGGTACAGATATGTTAGAAATAAACTTCAGTACTTCCAAATCAGACTCCAATGCGTTCGTATTCCTTGTTCTTAAAATAATTTCAATATTGAGCTTTCACTGGCAATTTTTTTAAATAATAGCACGTTATGACTTATGACCCAAAAGGTAATAAAATAGT